TAGTTGCTTTTACTCATATACACACCCAAGCAAGCAATTTTTATCAAAGAATGCATGGTCGAAAACAAAACGCAAAACCACTAGAGGGTGTCAAAGTTTATGTTCGAATATGAGGCAAAAACACACAAAGAACGATGAAGTTAAGTTATAAAAGCAAATTTAATGGCATGTGATTACAATAAGTGTTCAAAACAGTGGCCGAGAGCGGCTATGCACGCAGTACAACGGGGAAGAAAAGATAGGAGAACATTCTGAAACACAAACTTTCCCTGCAGCGGCCGAAAGCTTGGCGACAAGTAACGCAGCGCAGTTAATCGCAACAGGAATGGAGCTTTCACGTTTGCATCAAACAACTTTCCAAATCCGCCAGCACCTTTGGGTTTTGTTTTCGACCATGCATTCTTTTATAAAAATTGTTTGCTTGGGTGTGTGCTATCACTTCCTAAAATTTTGCCCACCTTTTTAGAATCACCCTGTATAAATACATATACAGTACAACCTCAAAAAACCGGACTCTTACGTCCAGTTAACCTGAAAAAAATTTCCAAAGAAGAAAAGAAAAAATCGCTTAAAATGAAAATTTAAAAGTAAGAGCGCAAAACCGCAAATCTACTCCAACAATGAAGCAGTAGGTGAAGAGGTAGGGGTGGAGAGTGAAAGAAAGCTGATAAGGAAATTCCAGTCTTTCTTATCAGCTCTGTATAGATAAACGATGAATATAGAGGGGATTCCCCTCGATATTCTTCGATGGAGAAGGTGTGAAAGAGGAGGAATTCTTCTACCACTTTGTTTTTCTCCCTTGTGAAGAAAGAAAACTGGTTCTTTCTTAACCTTGAAGCTTAGGAGGTGGGGACAAGTTCTTTCATCCCCTAACAAAAAAAGGATTAGTATCAGCTGGTACAGTCTAGTATAGAAGCATCTGTTTCAGTTATAAGTTGAAATTCAGCTCGTGTTTTAAGCCTATATTTTTAGTTTTAATTGTTAATAAAAACGATCGATTACGAGGGGAAATGACGAAAGTTGATTTTTAATGTCTCTTATTTATTATTTAAAGTGTATATTTATGTTAAGTTGTTAAAATTGACGTCGGAGGTCTACACACGCGCGTTTCGCGGAATCGGCCTGGCGAATTCGAAACTTCGATAATTCTATCAATTTAAGAAAGGTATCTAAAATTCGGAAATCCGGATCTTCCAAATCCCCTAGCAGTCCGGATTTTCAAGGTTGCACTGTATATATATACACATACATATTGCTAGAAGAAAAACGTCTTTTAACTCCAGATCACACAAATATCTGCCGAATCTATGCCTGCGGTGAGGAGGTGACAATACTTCAGCAGTGCGCAGTTATTTTTCAGCTCACTCCCTGAAAACCCTTTGATCGAGAGGCAAAAATCAAACTGGAGGTTTTTCCCCTCCCTCTCGCTTCCCCAATGTGCGGCCAGCCTAAGAGCCAATGGACTGCCTTATGCAAAATTTTGTAAAAAGTGGAAAAGTTTAATAGCCAGAAAATAAAGACTAAACCACCCTTTTATTTTTATATAACCATAGTTTAACTAAATCAGAGTTTCTGAAATTGTGCATCGCAACAGGAGTCACTAAAAGTTTCAGAAATTTCGATACATTCTTTTTTTCCTTTTTTCTACGACATACTTGTGTGAGACAACATTTTGCCTTACAAGTGGCTATATTTAATGGACAGAATACATTTGATGTTTGAATTTACCCAAGAAATTTAATTTTATTATTGCATAACTTTCAAATTTGTCACTTATTGATCTATTCTATAAAATATTCTTATTGTTCTATATCTCAAAATTAAAGTTTATGTCCTAAAACTGTGACAGTACAAGCGAAGAATCTGACAGTGTATCAGATTTAGGCAATACTTATGAAGTCCCACAAAATTTTTCTAAATATTTTGAAGTTCCCAAAAAGTTTAAGAAACCCTGAACTAGATTAATCACTTAGCTAATATATGAGATATTAAAATATCTATGATTTATTTTTTGTATTTTAATTTATTGGATCATGTTTTCTTATGTAAAGTATTTCCTCCAAAGGCACAGGAATGCTTTAAATTCATTATCTCAAATTGCTTAGATGAAATGTTTTTACATACAGATTGAATTTTCAATAATCACATAATGAAAGTGACACAATTAAATGAACAAAAAGCAAATTAACAAGTATTAAATAAGACTATTTGCTGGTTAAATATTCAGTAGAATGCTAAATAATGAGTATTTGGCCGGTCAATTATTTGTTGTTTGCTGCCCGGCCAAAATTACCATTTGGTCCTTTCTAAAATGTAAAATTAATTTTTTCTTAACTCCAAATAATTAACAAACAAAGAAATTTAAAAGCAAACTAACAATTTTAATATGAATCAATAATTGAATGTTTAACAGTGTTCAAAAGGATTAATGATTACCATTATTAAGATGAACAACAGCATGGAATTGCAGAAACATTGAGACATATTCAAAGGCAGACATTCGGACTTTTCCTTCTGGGCCACTTCTGCACAAATAATAAAATAATTTTTTTTATATTTTACAATTCTGCAACTTTTTTTTAAAAAAATTTAAGAAAATTCAAAAAGTTTATTGAGTTCCTATTACAAAATAAGTATTTTTGAATTAAAAAACACTATATAGTTAATCTAAGTTCATGATCCTGGAATACTTTGGTAGCCATTCATACTACAAATAAGTAAAAAAAAAAAATGGAGGATAAATAAAGCTATTAAAATGCAATAACAATCAACAGTGTTAAATTCGTTGAATTAAGGAAATTCAGAGTAAAAGAGAAAAGATTTATTCTTGATTTTATATTTATTATTATTTCTTTCTCTCTTTTTCGCCTAAGAAAGCTATACTAGCAAACTATAGCTGACAGGATTCATTCTTTGTGATGTCCCAAAGAGAATAATGATGCACTTGTGTACTACACTACCACAATTTGAATCAATTGCTGTACATTATTGGAATCTTTAGCATAAATTTAATTACGTCAATGCCAAAATTATTTTAACCCCAGTTATATCAGCTCTTCTTGATGCGCAGGAATATTGTTTTGTCCATATGAACGCTGATTCCTTTGTTAACGACATTAAATTCTCAACACCTCTCCATAGCAGATGGAAATGCATTTATCTTGATTTGCCATTCGGCCACTGTGGGATTTTTTCTTCTTCTCTGCGTCTGCATTTTTTCTAGTTTCTCTTTTCATCTTTTTTTCATTGGCAGCTTTACGTTTTATATTTCAAATCACTTTTGTTTCGTCTCATTCACAGCTGGCAAGTCTTGAAAATGGGAGCCTATTTTTGAAGTGCTTAAAACTTCTCGACTGCTGTTTACTTTTTATGTAGGGTCTGGGGGTAAAGTGGGTATATCTTCAAGCTTTTTTTTAAAGAAGGCTCTAAAATAAAATAACTAAATTTATTTTACTGAAAATTTCAGTGCATTTTATATACCTTGGATTCATATAGATTAAATATGAAGCATAACTTATCTTTGTTTGATTGTTTTCTTACAGTAATACATTCAAAAGAACTTGATTTGATATACTCACTTTACCCCAGAGTGAGGGTAAAGTAAGTATAGTTCTAAAAGTAGTATATATTTTATTAAAAAACATATGTAAATATTGCTTTAGAAATAAAATGATCTTTAAAAAATGTATCTTGATTATATTTTAAAAAATAAATGCTAAAAAAATAATATTTTTTCGTATTATTAAATTAAAGAGTAATGGCTATAATAAAATTAAGTTTCACTGCAGATGCTGAACTCCACACAATTTCATCAAAAAGCAAGAAAAGTGTAATAGTTTTTGGTTCATTTGAAATATAAAGAGTGTAAAAATTTATATTTATAGTGTCAATTTAAAGTGTCTTTACTATTTCTTTTACTATTTTTATTCAATTTAGTTATTTTAAAGAAATTATTTTGTTTCCCATGAAAAAACTGCCATATGAGAGCAAAAGTGAAAACACATTTTTATCTTTAAATATGCTCACTAAATGGTACCATTGTGCTATTTTGGAAATTTTTAATTGCATATGTCTGTTATATTGTTATTTCCCCCTTATCATTCTTCTCTTTTAAAAATTTAATTTAAAAAAAATTGTTTTCAATGTTAAAATTACTATAATCAAGGGCTATAATCAAACAAGTAAATTATTTTTTGAGCTATTTAATTAAAAAATGTAGAGCATTAGATATTTATTAAAACTGACAAAGAAGTGAAGAAAAAAAATTCCTCTCATACAACACTTATCTCAACCATATACCCACATTGCCTTACCCCAGAAAACAATTGATAATAAAAGAATTTCGAAATTTATTCTTTAATTTCTTATAGATCAGTTCTTTAGGTGTCCATGTACCAGTTTGAACTAAAATTAATAGTGTTTGCCAGTTTTTAATGATATTAAAGAAAGTTCATCAACAGCTTAAACTAACATTCTATATAAGTTGATCATAAACATATAGTTTGTAAACGTTAAACTTTTCATCAGTTTACAAAACTGAAACAAAAATTATTGCCACAATCACTGTAAATGCTTCTAAAAATGATAAAAGAATTTTCATTATATAAAAGGAGAAAATAGACGTTCCTTAACAAATGCCCACTTCCCCCATGTACCCCCTTTACCCCACCTGCCCTTATTTTTGAAGCGAATGAAGCTTTTAATCAGGTAATATCATACTGTTTCAGTTTCTTGCGATTATTTATTTAATATTATCACTACCTTTTAATGGAAATAAAGCACTTGGTCTGTAAAATAAAAGAATTTTATAAGACAATCAAAGAAGTTTGAAAGGATAATTGGTAAAATATAAGGCACAGGCGAATGATTAAAACTATCTTAGGTTTTGTAGTGCCTAATTAGCTCCAAAAAAAAATCCTACAAAAACATGCAAGGTCATAGACAACTTTGAATTCAATGATCAGTAACTTAACTATTACTTATCAAGCTGTCTCATTATATTCAAATGGATTGTCAAAAAACAATGTAACTTTTACTCTACGTTAGTAATGCCCTCTACATAAACAATAGCTAAAGCTGTCTACTACACTTAGATAATACTTCTAGTTATATCCAGGGTTGGCAGGTTTTTGACATGTGACAGTTTTTAACAGTTTAAACCATAGTTTAAACCGTCACGTCAAAAACCTCACTGTCAAAAATGTCGAAAACCTATATTCATATGTGAAATTTAATTAATACATAAAATTTATATATTTTTTATAAAGGATNAAATGAGATTAATAGTGTTTAAAAAATTATTAGTTTCTTTCAATTTAGCTTTAAAAAATCCAAAAAGAATTTAAAAGCCAAAACTAGTCATATTTTCATAAGTGAGACATGCATAAGTGAATGTTCTTAACATTCACTTATGCATCTTTAATTCCATATTATAATACAATCAATGAAACTATTTAAGGTAATAAAGAGAATTCTTTCAAAGGCACAATACCATTCTTAATCCAATTTGTCATTCCAAGACAGCTGAAGATACTTAATATATAATCTCAATTAAGTCTAGCATATTATAAATATAAAACAAATTACTAAAACTAAATTGAAATCAGTGGCATGACAGCCCATTAAGAGCATATTGCGCCTATCCCAGTTTTCTTGACCTCGGGCTCTGAGGTGTAGAAGAGGATGTTGTGGTTGAATGGTTAGCCAAAAGCAGAACTCCAGTGTTAAGTTATAAACAATACTTGGTATTCGTTTTATCGACCCACTAAAAGGGATAAAAGGCAAAGCCAATTTTGCCTGGTCCGAGGATAGAACCCAGGGCAGGAAAGCTAGCATTCAGCCAAAACAAATAACAGATTCTTTTTTTCCCACAAAAAGCAACACAAACATTCAGTAAAGACAACACTCGTCCCAACTTTAAAATATAAAGTTTATTTCCTAAATATGATTTCTCTTATTATTGTGATACCAAGGCAACTAAAACCATGTTTCTTAATGTCCAAATTTTAATATGTTACATAACGTAAACAATTAGTTTCTGTTCCACTTTCTGCAAAGTTGAGATATTACAACAAATTAAATTTAGGCAAGAAATAAACCAGATGGTTACAATCAGTCTGGATCTAGATTTTGCTATCAATCGGTTTTTCAAGTTGGATGACACAAAACGCAGCATAATTTCAGGATAAAGTCACACAGAATGTTTATATCTATAGGCAGATCTTCAAGTAGGGAAGTTTTTAATTTACTGAATAATGATGCAATATAGGTAAAACAAAATTTAATACTCCATAAAAATTAGAACAATTAATTCAATTGAAATAACTGATCTTACCCATCTGAAGACATTTTTGAGAACAGATTTTGTAAGTTTGTTGCAGCTAAAGGGAATGGATGTTGCACACATAAACTTCGGACATAGAAAAAGACGGTTGAAAGTTTCTCTCCACTTGCTGCTTCTAGTAAAGCCAGCTGGTTGTATGGTTGACCTAAAACAGAAACAACAGATTTAACAAACTAAATACCACACTTTCAGATACTTGATGCAATCTCACTTACCATTGCTAGGAACTAAGTCAACTGCATGACGATAAAAATTTTCAGCTTGCAAAGACTGTCCCCTGTATCGAGCTAAAACATATAAAAAGAACTGAAATATTCATTCTCATTAAAAACTACAAATTTAATAAGACAGTACAAACTAGTTTCATTTGAAGTAATTATTTCTTGGTACGTAGAAATCTGCGCAAAAATTATGTTAACAAATCAAGGAAGATTTAAAGAGTTCAAATTTTATGGTTGTTCTTAGAATATTATGGCAAAAATTGTACACAAGAACATCTTTCTATATATTTAAAAAAAAACAAAAAAAAAACAAGGTCCTTTCCCAATTGCACCCACTATTGATTAGTCAACATTTCAGCAAGTAAATCTATTTACCAGCAAGTGGAAAGGTTAGTTTTTTCGGAAAGGGCATTATTGCAACCTTTGAGTGATTTGCACTTCTTTTGAATGATTTCATGTGTGGTATAACAATGAAAGTTTTTGTGCAATAGGAGTTATTTTTCTTTAGTCAAAGTGCAATATTTTTTTCTTTTAAAATCACAACCATAAGAGGTAAATAATCATAATCCCTAAAGTCTAATTTGGCAGGTTATGTCAGTAGTTAATTTGATACTGTTGATCCACAGACGGTTACAACTATTTGGGATCGTATTTTAACTCCCTCCCACACACACTTTTTGACTAAAACTAATAATTTTCAATTTAACAATAGGAAGACTTATTAACATTTTTGAGACTTATTAACATTTTTGAAGTCAACCCTTTAAACCATTAAAGTTGGCACTTAGTACCTGGAAATCCGATCATTAAAACAAAAGATACTCAAGGTGATCTCTTATTTTTTTATGGCTCACTGTACCTTTTAGATAAAACTCAACTGAATTACCCCATTTCAGAAAACATATTATAATATTGGATGAATCAATACTATCGACCAGCTTTTGGTCTAAGGCAGAGATTAGGAACTCATAAGACGTTTTGGGAGCATGCAAGAAGTATATACTTTTCTTTCAGTTACGTTCACTGAAAATAATATTTAAAAAAACTAAAGATAAACATCTTCAATACTAGTAATCATTAAAGGAATTTCAAAACGAGTACTATGACATTTTAGAGGGGTGACTATAGTGCAGCACTGTCCATGTTTTTGGGAAGTACAGTGCCATGAGTTATAAAGAGAGAACCAAAACTAAATGGCAAATTATGCATGAAAAAAATACATTGGTAGTTTTTGACAAAATATAGATGCATATAATTTTTCGCACCATAAAAGATAAAAATATTGAAAATTAATCTTAATTTAATTCTACTACTTAAAATATAGGGTATCCACTTTATACTTTTTTACCACACTTTAATATTAGATTGAAATATTTTCAAAATACCATTAATTCGATTTCCATTTGAAGTGAACTCAACTATAAATATAGTTACATAATTTAATTATATAGTTTGAAATAAAAACAGTGGTTAATAGATTATTTTTATAACGAAATATAACGAGTGGTACATCAGAAACTTGAAACTAATACACTGTAATTTAACTGGAACACTAATCGAAAAAGGTTTGCCATCCTTGGTTTAAGATTACTGAAATTTGATTCAGACCACCATAAAATAAATGAGCAATTGTACCCTAAGCCTACATAAAGGGATGGCATATTCTTTGGGTTTTTAAATTTTGTAATTTGGTCTGTATTTTGTCACAAAATAGCATATTTCATAAGAATTATGAACTATTATAAGTTTTTATTTGAATTCATTCCATTAACATTATAAAAATAAATGTAATCAAGGCATGTAAGTAGCCTAATGAAGATGTGTGAGTAAAATCTTTCATATTATTAATCTTTTGGACCTGTGAATTACCATCAACAAATATTAAGTTGTGTGTTAAAATTCCAAACAAAAAAACTGTTTGTAAATGTAATGCAGCAAATCACTTTATTTAAGAGTTTAGTTAAAGAACATTAATTGTTTTACTGTCCTGTCATATTGTGAAAACCATAAAATATAGGCACATTTAGATAATATTATGAATACAAAATAACTGCTATACAAGGGAGAATGAGAAATAACCATATTATGAGAAAAGCAATAACTATTAAAAATAATGAGACAAAAAATATAAAAACTGGGGATCAAAAATGATGACTGTGTTCAATAATTCCATAAAAAGCAATTATTTATATGAATACTAAGGATTAAATTACAATATAAATTACAGCTATTTACTTTACTCACAGCTTTATTAACCAGAAATAAACTTTAAAATTTTTTTTTTATGATTTACTTAAAATTAGGCATAGTAAGTTTCGATCACAATGGAAAAAATCATGGAGCCAAACTGCCAAGAAAGAAATAGGTTTTATCCATGACAAGTGACGGAAATGGAAACATTTTTTCAAAAAGAAATATTGAATCCTAAAATAATTTTTTTAAAAGGAAAAATATCGTTATAGAAAATTTTAATAGGGTAATAATAAATTTTAATAAAAGAGAATAATTATATAATAGAGATGCATGTTTTTTGGAAAAGTATTTTCTGGAATTTGAATAGATTTAATAATGAATAATCTAAAACCATATTTTTTAGTATACACTATGAGTAGTTTTTACACATAGTTGTTAAGTTCCAAAACTCTGCTTGCATTTTTTCTGCAGAATTATATTCAACGAAGGGGATAGAAATGCTCATGATTTTTCTATTCTCATTTAAGAATTTAAAAAAATCGATAATGACTGGCTTCAGCTAGAATCATGTTCCTTCTCTCATTTTTTAAAACAAATCAAATTTTACATTTTAATAAAATATTACTGAGTGGGGTTTCGTTTACAAATTCAGATTTGTAACAAACGAATTAATCAATGAGGTATATTTTTCTAAAACAGGGTGCGTAGCCAAATCTTTGAATAAAAAATAAGCACTTTTTAAAAACTTTTCAAGCACTTTACAAAAGTTTTCAAGCACTCAAAAAATTCATATTCAATCAATGATATTATTGAAAAACAAAAACTTCTTATAAACAGTTTTAGCGTTAAAAAAAAAAAAAAAAAACGGGCGTAAATCGAAACAATCAGTACTTTCCCACATCACCGAGTGAATTCAACTTGACCCTGAACTCAGAACAAAAGTACCCTTACCCCCTACGTCAAAAAAAGTGTTAGAAGTAAAATAAAATAAACAAGAACAAAATTAAAATAAATTAAAAAGAAAAACATTTCATAAGGATCTGATATTCTCTATCCGAATTGGAGCACTCGGGTTTCGGTTTCAAGTGTGCGCGCATGCGCAAGTCATAACGTGGGTACGACATGAAGTCCGCGTGAATGATTACGTAGCAAACTCCCCATTTTTCGTGAAATGCATGGGATCCACCAGATATCACTGAAGGGAAAAAAAAATTATTCGGAAAAAAAGCACTTTTTAAAAACGCCAGCTGAAAAAAGCACCTTTAAAAGCTTTTAATAACGAAATCCACAAAAAAGCACCTTTAAGTACTTTTTACAAACGCTACGCACCCTGTAAAATGAAAATTCTAAATCACACATTTGAAACTTCACCTTAATATCGCTCAAAACTCATGCCAATTCCATCATAAATATATGTAGTGTTTTGATAATTATTTTTTGCAATTATTCCTACGAATTTTGCTTTTTTAAAAAAAAATCCTGAAATCTTTCATAGCTCAGTTATTATTATTGATATTCTCATAATATATTTTTTTAAATATAGATATTGTTACTACATGCGAATTCCAGAAATCACTTTTTGACACACTTGGTATGTGTCGTAATCATCATTAAACCATGAGGTGCTTCAATCGTTCTTTCAACAATTATTACTACAGGTTTCAAAATTATTAATAAAAATAAAATCTCAATGTTTTTAAAAAAAATAAAATCTCAATGTTTTTTATTCAACTAAATTAGCTTTTGATGTGACGAATTCCTTGTTTTTTCGACTTTTGGGCATTTAGTGCTAATAAAGCCCTGAATAACAACTAATTCAGGCTTTAATTGCTTCGTATCATACTAAATCGGCCTTTCGTATATTAAAAGTTTTATGCATTTAATCTTTTTAGACGCTGATTTCAAAACATGAATACTTGCCATACTTTTCTTTATGAATTCAAAAATGGTCATAAATGGCTCATTTGAAACATTAGTGCTGCATTTGGTAAAGCCGCTGTTAATGAACAGACAATTCAACGTTGGTTTAAAAAATGTGAAGATGATAAAAATCCTTAAAATGAACCACACGGAAGACCGGAGTCAAAGCTTGATAACACTCCATGGAATGAAACCCTAGCATTACTGTTCGAGAAATTGCGCAAGAATTAGGAGTTAGTACAGTCATAGTATCAGGCCACTCAAACACTCACAAAATCAAAAAGTTGGATAAATGGATTCTGCATTGTTCTGAAATCTGCACTTCTTTGCTTAAAAGAAACAAACGAGAACATTGTAGAACAAAAATATCGCCTATGATGAAAAATGGAACTTATATGATAATAGGTATCGTTCACGCAATGGTTAGATGCAGATGAAAAACAACACCGAAAATTCCTGTTTCGTGGTCTACAGCTGTAATAATTTATCATAAATCTTTAAATGCTGACGAAATAATAACAGCAGAGAAGTATCGCACAGAAATTGAAGTTATGGCATTTAGACAACTTTCTCTGCGATAAAAGTTCACCAATCTTTCATTGACACCAGAGCCAAATTTTTATGAAAGTGGTATCTAGTAACACGTTTGCAAAACTGTGTTGATTGTGATGGCTTTTACTTTGATTGATAAAATAGTTTTTTCTACTATGAATTTCATGAATTTTTCAATGTGATTCACAAAATGTGACTATATCGCTCATAGTATTAGAATTAAAAAAAAAATTACATATTCAATACATACAAATCATATATATAAATTAAATACAGTTTTTTTTTTGTAAGCACAGTGCTTTTGTTACTTTAAATTAGTAACATATATATTTATTATTATTAAAAGTATCTCACAGAAAGATGCAAGAAAGTTTTGTTACAGAAAGCCTGAAACACTTCTGCCACAGGGCTTATTGGTTGTATTGATCCAGCTAGTTCCTACCTAGCTTTAAAATAAACATACATGGCATTTAAAACATATTAAATAAGAACAAGTTTTATAAATACCTATATCACCCAAATGGACAAGGCAATGTTGGCAGATGTAAAAAAGTGATGTTTTTCGAGGCTGGTGAGCTACAGGATAGCTGCTTATCCATTCTAATGAAAAATAAATACCACTTTACATGGTGTCACAGTCAACATACACAAATAATGAATTAAAAGGGCAATCATTATAGTTTACAATTAAAAAAAATCTTTTATTTATTTACAACATGAAATATTTTTTTTAACAATATCGAGAAACTGCTGCATTATTCCATTGCTAGATTTAATCTTAGAGAGGATAAAACACTAATACTTGCTCAAAACTTCAGTAAATCATTCATTTCTGCAACCTACGTTTCTAATTATTTATTTTCATATTTTGGAGAAAACCTTTTTTTTAACTCAAATAAAATCAAGCTGTTTTGATTCCTCTCTAAATGAGAAATCACAAGAAAGGGACTAAGATGGTGAATTCATATCAAAATAAATAGGAATAAAAGTTTCAAAAATGCATCACAAAAATGGGGTAGTGACTTTATATTCCTTAAATATAAGGTCATATATACCTTAATATAAGGTCATTAAATAAAAGGCTGCAGGGAAATTTTTATAATGAAATCTGGAATATTGCTAATGTTAATTGGTTTGAACATTCGAGTTAAATGGCACAACAGCCATAATTGTCTATACTTAGCCCTTAATAACTTTTAAGCCCCTTAATAAATTTTGATCTAATGATTGAATCATCACGTTCTACGGCTTAAACTTAAAGATTCCAGGACATGACTTAAAATATGCTAATTAGTGGAAATAGTATTTTAAGACACAAAATCAGACAAAAAAAAAAAACATATTTTCTATGAAATAAACCCAATTTCCAACAAATTCGGATTTCCCACAACAAAAAATAGGGAGTAGACAAAATCACAATATGGTCACAATAGTTTAGTTATAAGAGCGGTCCAAAGTTTGGACACCTTAAAATTAACTTTACTTTTTGCATATTTCACCATATCTTGAGAACTTTTTAAGCACATTTTTATACACAGATATAAACTTCGTTTATCCAAATATAATTCCAAGCACAGTATAACTTTTAGTAAATATTTTTTAATCATTTTATATAATAATAGTTGAAAAAAGTTGAATTGTAAGGTATCAATTTTTTTTATGTCATTTTAAAAAGTGCAACTTTAAATATCAAAATACAAAATTAAGAGTGCAAAATCGGGCGATTAAATCCTGAGAAATGAAAATTTAGTAAAAGTGGTATTAGTAAAATTCAAATTCTCTGAAACTTTTCGACCAATTTTGCTCAAATTGTGTATTTTGACATTTAAAATTACATTCCTTAAAATAATGTAAAAAATTGTATACCTAATAATTCAAAATTTTTATTAAATAAAATAATAATAAAGATTTACTGAGAGTAATATTTTGCATGAAATTATCTTTGCATATATGAATTTTACAATTGTGTAAGAAAATTTTTCAATTCAATTACGAAGTTCTCAAGATATGGAGAAATATGCAAAAAGTAAAACTAACCACTTTTCTGTCCAAACTATTGTGACCATATTTTCGAGATTTCGGCTACCCTCTATTTTTCAGAGTCAAAAATATGAATCTGTCACTCATTTATTTATTCAGAGAAAGTATGTATTTGTGCTTGATTTCGTAACTTAAAATATTGCCTGCACTTTTTAACTAGCATATTTGAGGCCACGTCCTCAAACCATCAAGATTGAGTCGTAGAATATTAAGATTGGATCATTATATCAAAAGTTACTCAGGCTGGCCATTTATTTCTTTTTGTGCTCAGTACATAATATATACATAGTGTAAATTAGATAACATGTCAATTAATGGCAAAATGATTGATTAATCACTTTCAGAATATTTTCAAACAACAGAATGCTGCTGTTCTTCAGTTATTCGCCAACATACAACTTCTTCATTTCATAAATATTTAGAACAAAAGAAAACTTAGCAGGATTTAAAAGAAAAATGCAATTATAATACTGAAACAATATTTAGTTTTATACCTTTTGTCAGTCCATAAACAGAGTCTCTAGGGTGACAAGGTAGGTCTATATCATATGCGCAACATAATTTTTGAAGAAGCTGAAAAATTAAAGACATTCATTCTAATTCATTCAAAATTAGAAAATTGGAAACATACTTAGATTCTAAAATGACTCTTTCTTTACAACTCTCAAAAGTCTGTTGATGGAGGCTTCTGTGGAAGAGTCACAGCGCTTCAAAGAGTTTTTATAATTAGTAATGAATTTCAAAGCCTCTAATTAACAATTCATAATTTTAATAATATTTTGGTTGTTTTTATTAAATTATTGAAGTAAAATGCCAATGAAAAAAGAAATAACAGAATCCACCCCCCTTCCTAAAAAAATCAAACACTGTATAGAACAAATTATGAAAAAGAATTAAATATTTATTACAAAAAATTGTATCCTTTAAAAAAAACAATTTATAGTAAAAAGAAATAATCAATTTCAAGAATCAAAATGTTTCTATGATAACCATTCTCAATGCTTATAACAGATTTAGTTTTTGAAAGCCATAATTCAAACTTTATTTTATTTATTTTCAGCTTATACGCACACACTAAAAATCAGGGATGAGAGTAGTCAGAGTGTAAAAAAAGAGGAAATCTAAGAATATATATATAATTAATCACATCATGAATATGAATAATATGCATGATTTTAAATTGAGAGAATATGAATCCCAATATGTGGCTTTTAAATCACGTGAATATGAAACTCGATAGTGGATTTAAAAAATGCGAAAATACAAATCACAATGCATTATTTTTAGATCACGTAAATACAAATCCCAATGTCTAATTTGTAAATCGCATATAAATACGAAAATCAATGTTTGATATTACAGCCGCATAAACAAATCACGACATTGGAATTTAAACTTGCGTGAATATGAATCGCTACATAAGATTTTAAAAAATGTGTAAATACAAATCGTGCTATTGGATTTTTAAATCTCGTAAATAATCATTGCAATATACGATATTTAAATCACGTGAGTAAGAATCGCAGCGCACAGCTTTTAAATCAAGTAAATACGGAAATCGATGTTTGATATTAGAATAATATAATTGAATAAGAATAAAGATATTAACACATTCTGGACTTGGGATTTCTCAAAGGCTTGTTTGTATTGTTTTTGTTTAGCCATAATAAAAACAAATCTACAAGATTAATTGAATGAGCAGATAAACATTTTCACTGCAAATCCACCGCTATTTTCTATAATTATTTTGTTTGCTTTCGAGGCCAGCAAACAGGAAGCAGCGAGATGTCTGAATTACAAAAATACAGAAAATCTTATTTTCTGCGTGTATAAGCTAAATAGCTAAAATAAGTAAAAATGCAGAAGGGTTGGCGTCTAAGTAGATTGAATTTTCTATTATCTTTTAAAATCGGAAATAGATATAATTATTTTATTTAAACGACTGAATTTCCAGAAAAAGGGAAATATTTATTTTTAAAAAAAACTTTTAGAGAATTGAAGTTTTTGATAAAAAGGCTGAAATTGGAGGGGAAAAAAACGGAAAAATCTCATCCCTGAAAAATAAATGCGAAAATATTTTTATGTGAAAACTCACAAATTTTAAATAAACGGTAATCTCTCTTCCATTCGTGTTTTTCACAGCTGCTAATAAACTTTATTTATAAAAGTCAAAACTCCGTCAAAACAAACTGGATTACTTAGGATTTCATTAGGCTGCTCTTCAATTCTAGGATTACAGAATTAATCTTTTGAAAAAAGATTTGAGAAGAATATGATAATTAAAAGATAATAAAAATAAGTAAAGCTTTACTTGAAGATAGAATCCACTTGCAGTTTCCAACAAAGTAGATAGTTGGCTGCTAATGTAGCTGTGGTTAGACTTCTAAAAGAAGAAGAAAAAAAATGGATGCCAAGCATAAGATTTATTTATTATTTTTTTATAAAATCTAAGAGAATAGATTTTGAACTATAAGCAATAAATATTTTCTTAATACAAAATGAACTTTTAAAAACTTTCACACATCTTTTTGTTTTATCCCAACAACTCCAAATAAAATACAAAATGCAAAATTTGATAATGGGATTGGTGTCACAATCATTTTAATTGCATTTGTGGAAATTCTTTTCAAATTTAACCAATGGTGGGAAGCTTACATTGCTCTGTATGTTTTGCATTAGTGTCCAAAAAGCTCCTCGGGAAGGATGATTAGAATCAACCGTTATGTTAAATTGTTAGCTAAGAATTTTGCTCCCTATTCATTAATGCACACACATAAAACCCTTAATGTAAGAGAATCAGATTGAAATAAAGAATACACACTAAAAAAGAACAAAATAAAAAAATAAAAATTTGAATTAAAGAATCGAAAAAAGACAAACTTCTGATCTGCTTGCAATAAATGATTAAAATGTATTCCCATTTAATTAAATTGCCACATCATAAAATATAAAATGAAAGCATAATAGAAGGGAAAATTAATCAGCTGTTACTAGCGGTGCTGAATTTTTAAAAAAAAATGTAAATAGGAAATTTTCTCAATTAGTTAGTTTTTGCAACTTGAAGCAATATTTCTCATTAAAATATTTATTTCCATTACTTAACAGTAGGTTTAGTTAAAATACTCACAAGGAGTAAAAAAATATGCAAACACATTTTGTGTATTTGAAAAAAATAAAGTAGGGTAAAAGTCATTACTGTCCCTTTTCTCTAATACACATTTCTGAATGTTGTAAGCAATTTACTAGTATCAGAGGCGATTGTGGCACAGAGTGAAAAACCCAGAAAATTTTATGTATGAAAAATCGAATCAATTTATATACCATACATGTTTCATATTTAACATAACTGTTTGAACTAACATTTATAATTAAATTACCTACTAATGGTTATTATGCACCTTTAGAGTAACTAATGCAAGAAAAAACTTACTTCTTACAAGAATTGCAATATTGGGTTTTAAAATTGCACAAATATAAATCGCGATGTTGGGAGTTTACAATTGCGTGAGTATGAATTGGGATATCGGATTTTAAAATTTTGTGAATATGAATCGCGATAATGGATTTTTAAATCGCGCAAAAACAAATTACTGTGCATAGTTATTAAATTGTGTAAATGCAAATCGCAATACTGAATTTCAAAAACTCGGAAATGTAAATCTTGATCTAATGTTAAACTTTTAAATTGCGTGAATACAAATCGCAACATGTAGCACTTAAAAATCAGGTTAATACGAAAAATCGATGTTTGAATAAAGAATCCAAATATTAGCAGATTCCGGTGAGGTTCCAAATATTAAAAAAGGCAAAAAACCGCCAAACTAAAATAATCAATTTGGCGAAAAAATCACGTAAGACGTAATTCTTCACGTAATTAGCGAAAGAATGTATGTAAACTTCTCATTAATGGGATTTAGAAAAAGCTTTGAAATTTTGTCGGATTAGAAGTTTTTGATTTGGGGAAGTCCGAAACCAATTGTCTTGATTTACATAGAATTCTGCTATATTTGTGCAAAAAATTGCATGCCCCATTCCTAGTTTTTAGACCTGAAAGAATGATACGAAAAAACCTGGAATTCCGGGGTACCCCCAGAATACAATCACCCCTGTACTATATTATGAAAATGTTACAATGTATACATATTCCAATATAGTATCACTGTTTACTTGAATCTGAAAAATCAATATTCTTGAATGTGCACCCAAATTTTATGTAATTATTATCCCAAATACAAAAAGTACTAATAAAATACTACAATGGCTCTAATTGTATAAAATGTAGAAGATAAAAAGAAGAATGAAATTTCTACCCAAGTTAATTGAAATTCTACTGGTCTGAGTGGATGAAAAGTTTTATCAGTCGCATGCACAAGACACATGAAAAATGAAGTTATACACTTAAAAAATGCACCAAGGACAATTTCTACCCATCAAGACAATTTCTAAAGGATAAACAAATTAGATGAAATATTTTAAAATGTAAAACAAGCAATATCTAGAATTATTGTAGAGCGTATTATAAGTATTGTAACATGTGTTTGTTTATAAAATGCAGTCTTACTTAAGGTAATATAAAAATTTAAGTGATACAAGTATGTTTTTGCAATGAAAAAAAAATTCTAATGAAAATTTATACTTCCTTAAAATTCTAGATACAATCTATTTCTCAAAAATATTAAACTTTCTATTAAATACTGTTTAAAATATTTTAGAATATTTATTAACTTTTAATTGATAAAAAAAAACAATTTCGTGTACTTTTAAAACATTTAAATTAAGAGATAATTACATTTTTCCATGCAATAGGAATTTAAAACTGTCACTAAATTTTTATTTATTAAGTTATTTCTTTGTTCGTGGATTTCTGTACCTAACTTACTAATGTAAAAATTCTCAAAATTAAGTAAACTTGAATAATAAGTGAAATTTCTTAATTGTCTTAATCAAAAGTTAATGTTTTAAGAAAATCACCCATATATATAGATACATAAAGTTACTTTTCTATGGGCAAAAAATTTTTAAAAGTCTTTTCTATAGGTAATTTTTCACCTCCAGGGTCAGACTGCCCTAGCTATACCACTGATTTATAAGCTTGTAACCCCCCCCCCCCCATTAAGAAACATTTTCAGTAATTTATTATACAGGGTTCATACTAAAAATAAAAAAAAAATTTTACCCTAAATTACAATGTACAAGTCATAAATATTAAATTGAATGAATACCTTGTGCTCCCTCGCCTTTGACTGGCAAGCTGATATAGGATTTCGGAATATGAAACTCCAAAGATCTTGTTCAACTTTCTTGTCAAGGGCATAATCTAGATCGATGAGGAGGAGAGATTCCAACAGGTGGCATAATTCTTGTCGCTTCTGCCAATTGTCTGAACTGGATAGGCTCTCACCTTCACACAAAGAAAATAAAAACTGTTCATAATTATGTTCATAAGAAACCATTCATGAAAATCTAGGTTCTCAACAATTTATAGAAGAAAACTATTTTAAATAACGAGAGCACACTAAAATTAATTATACGGACACGTTTGTTTTATATAAAAAAACTAATACATATTTAACATTAAATTTTATTAAAGCAATTATTAATTAAGAAATTTATTGAGAAAAAGGATACTAACCAAAAACAGTCAAGAAAACTTTATGCTTTCTGCTTAATATAGAAAGATTTTAACACGAGAAAGTTCATGGTTTGTAGTTGTCCTGGTTTTACAGATAAAAATATTTTGGCCTGATTTTTAGCTTTTTGTCCTGATATTCCTGGTTTTTGAGAATGTTCAGAACATCCTCTTTTCTTAAAACACAGATTTTTAAAAAATAGAAATGAAGAATCAAAAAATGTAGTTTTTGATCCAACATCTTTTTATTTATATAATACATACTAATAGAAAGTGCAAAATTTAAAAGTTCTAATTTAGCAGGTGCCATCTACTAATTAGATAAATAATTCAAGTAAATAGTTTTAACCACAGAATTCAAAACAAAAAAAAATCTATACGTATTTTAGAAATTTTCAACTCATTGATGTTTCTTAATTTTAAAATAATTGTAGATATATAGGGGATAAAAGAAGATCAAGAATAAAACTTTTGCACAAGTAAAAAGTTAGCTGTAATTTTACTGTGTTGCTAGAATGATGCTTTATTGGCTGCATACACAAGCAGAATAAAAAAAATTTGTCGTTTAAAAAAACGCCACCAGAGCCAATTTCTACCTATCTGTAAACCATAAACCATTCAAATGAAAAATACAAATTATATTTTAAAATGTAAAACAAATATTTATTATATTTTTTATATATTATGGAGCAAATGGTCTAATTAGGTAAAAAAACGTTTGAAATTTTTAAAAAAATAATGTTTTTCCAGTAAATTGTCTTAATTGATCCAATATCCAAAAACGCATTTTAAAATTTAAAAAAAAAAAAAGCAAGAGTTTTGTTTTAAATCATAATGTGTTAGCTTACAAGATGTGGTCATACTTAAGATAATATAAAAATATAAATGATGCAAAGATTTTATTACAATGAAAATGTAAAAAATTTTAAGAAAATTTCCCTTAAAAAAAATATTAGTTAGGACATTTCTTTCTTCTAATTTCCATACAACACCTCCAATAATTCCAATTGCACTAAATTTTACATACTGCCATAAAGACAATTTTTATTATAAAATGTTTTGGAAGCAATTAGCAAATTCAGCTTTTCATAACTTAATATTTTGTATTATTCACTTAAGAATTCTGTAATGTTATGTCGAAGGATCCTCTGACATTCTTATGAAATTCAAATTATTTCTATTTGACACGGCAAACAATTTCACCTTATTAGCTTTTATACTCTTTGATTTAATAAAACTTATACCTTTTTTTAAAAAATAAAAGTTATTTTTAAAGAGATATAAGATGTTTAAGATTTTTTTCCCCATAAAATTCGAAAATCACCTTCAGTTTCTCAAAAATTAAAACTTGACTTAGAATGAAGCTGAAGCAGTCAAAGATCAATTATACCCATTTATATTCATCAATTTTTCAAAATCTACGGAAAAATATGTTTTTTAACAACTAAATTAATAATATTTAGCTGCATAGTTGTATTATTAATTAATAATATTTAGTTAATTAAAATTGAAAGATGATACATTGAATTCAGTTCCATGCAGAAACCTATTCTTATGTTAGGGCCACTTTAATAAGAAACGGCTAAATAAACATTAAAACATAAATTCATTGATCAGTAAAAATTTTTAATAAAATAACTATGATTAAAAGTAGGCCATATCAAAAATGTTAAACATTAATTATTTTTTAAAAAAATGTTTGTTTAAAAAAAAAAAAAAACATTTTTTTTTTAACGTTTAATAAACTTTTTTAAATGAAACTTTAATATGGGGGTCATTCAAAAATACTTGATAGAGTGTCCCAGAAAATAAAATTAAAACATTTTATAAAAAAATATTAAGAGGTCCCTCAGGGTCACACAAATTACAATGATACATGCGAAATTTTAAGTCTCTAATTTTTATCAAAAATATAAGTTATAATTAATTAAACACTATGCGTTCATTATTAATAATAAAATATGCATCAATAAAATATCATCGTTTGCATAGTGAAATTGAGCAACAAAAAAAAGAGTTTAATGTCTCGAAATCGGTAGTAGATTGTGATAGAAAGTTACTACCTGGTTTATCATTAAATGAAACAAAGTAGGTGGATCGTTTACCAGTGTTAGTTTTCTCTCTGCAAGATAGTAACACAGAATTTCTTGGAATTCTTAAACTATTATCAAGTACGTAGAAATCAGCAGATAATGTGGTTTTTGAACAATTACAGTCATGAAAAAGTAATTTGTAGATTTTTAGTATGTGCTTAGGCACAACTTCCTCAAATACTAGAAAAATTCTAATAAACATGAATTCTACTTGAAAATAAATTAACAAGAAACCTTTTGAGGTTCGCTTTAATTTTAGACACTATATGTTTGAAGTGTTACTTTCAAATGCATTTAATGTCTGTCTTTTAATGTTCAGTGGACCTGAAATTTTTATGTTTAAAAGATTGAGAAAATTGAGATAGAACTAAACAATCACAAACCAAAATTTTTTAAAAAAAAAAAAAAAAAAAACCTTGATTGCAACATCCAATTCTTTGAAAATTTTCATTACTAATCAACTTCGGATAACTAAACACTTCCCTAGAGATGATTTTAGACAATTTTAATATCTTTCTGTTTGTATGATTGGAATAGTTGTAAGCAATTTAATTCGAAAAGCAGGTGCTCTCCATACGGCTTGTTGGATGGCAAAAGACATTTATTTAATCATTAAAAATTGTACTACTGTTTGACGTAAATGAATCTGTAATATAATTAACACCTCAACAATATAAAAGGGCTTAAAATATTCAATCGGCTTGTAGCATGCGTATACTTTCAATCATGGTACACATGTCAGTCTATTTTAGATGAATTTGTAAATGATATGTGCCTAGTGCATTTCATCGATAGGCTCTTTTTTCGGCACCACTTCATCAAGCGATCATTTAATCGACAAGATAATTTCATCAACAAGTTCGTTTAATCGACAGTGTCATTTCGTCGACAAGGTCATTTTGTCAGTAGGGTTGTTTCGTTGACAAGGTTTTTATGTCATTTACATTTCTTCACAATTTAGTATATTTTTATGCGTCTAAATTTTCTAAACTTTAGCAAAAGCAAACTTTTTCCCTATGTTGCAATCGTCAAAAAAGAATTTCTTTCCTTTAATTTGAAATCGCTTACTCCTTTTATTGTACAGTTGTACTTATAATACTATAAGATTTCACTTGACGACCACACTGTCACAAATTATCATTATCTTCATACCTAGGTACACACACCTGCATGTTCTTGACTGCATTATTTTTAAATATTAAGTAAATACAAATTTAAAAGCTTCATACAGATCACAAAACTACAAAGTTAAAAGAAAAAAATAATTTTCAAAATAACTAACTTATACAATAAAATTAAGATACATTTTCGAGTATATAGATTTAGCATCATTTTTGAAAATCACTTCTTTTTATGGGAATTTCTACCCAAGTTTTGCATCTATTGGAATACCCAGAAAGCATAAACGTCCAAAAATATATCAGTGAAAGTAAAACTATAAATGTTCTTATGGTGCGTTTTTAGAAACTAAGATCCACATTCGTGGATCAAGGTAATGAAGAGGTTAAGGGGAACCTTTAATAAAAAAATTCGCGCTGAAATTTTACACATTATACATACACCAAGGGAAACTTTTTAGGGAGTGCGAATCAAAATATTTAAAAAAAATATTTTTTTTTTGCTAGGGGAACACCTGAGCGGTGAGCTAAAAAAAAAGTTGGGAAACAATGATGTAGAATAGTGATTACCAACTGGCAGCCTGAGAAACTTTTTTTTGTGGCCTGCTAACTAAAATATATTAGCTGTCATTTTTTTGATGGCAATTTTAGCAAAAAATCTATATGGATTTAAAATACTTTTCTCTTTAAAAAAAAAAACACCAATTGCTTCGTTTCTGTGAAATTCAACTTACCAACGGTTCAAAAAAATTATGTCTCAGGTTTTGCATCTAAGAAAATATTTATTCAAATACAAAAACAATCGTGTATTTGCTCTTTTTTATTTATTTATTTATTTTTATTTTGTGAATATAATTCAGCATGTGCGTATCAGAAATTTTCTCGAAGAAATTCTCCGATTTAACTTTTTGAAACCACTCATTTTGGACGAAATTATTTACATTTGTAAATTTCAAATTTAAAATGTAAATATCTATTCTCCGGTGGTTGCAGCAGACAAACCTCAATTCTCTCACTGAACATTTTGTGTGCTACTATGTAAGTTTTAATACCATTCTTTTTAAAGTTTTATAACTTAACAATTAGATATCCGTTGCACATTAATTGTTTAATACATAGGTGCACATTGAAGTTATTGTAGCCAGAATTTTTTAATATGTAATTAAATATTTTTAAAAATCTAGTTCTTATTTTAATTTGCAATTCAATACTTCTGTTTTGTACAACTTGATAAAAATCTGACCGTAATATTTAATCTTCTTTCAAACATATCTTATCACTATTATCCACATTTAGTATCTTTTATTATTTATTGTTTCAGTTTGAATATCAAATAATAATTTACATATATTCCCTGGCGCATCTAGAAAAAACCTTTCATAATAAATATTTTAAAATATCAATGAAATCAGAGTTTTTTAAAAAAAAATCATACCCTTAAGAATGTATTAATAAATTCTGTTATAAAATATTTGGTATAAAACAATGATTTTTAAAAAAAATTGTTTTCAATCAGATAATTAAAATATTAATTAATGAGATAACTAAAATATTTTTTAAAAAATATAAAATAATTTAAATCATTTTTACTCTCACTTTAGGGGTATGTGGAAAATCCTTTAGTCGATCATGAAAATTACTGAAACAATTTTTGTATAAAAAATGAATAAGGTATCATTTTTGGATGATTGAAATTCTACACACATTAACTAATGATGTTAAAATCTATAAATCCAGACAGCCATTCTCTATTGTACCATTTATCCGACCTCAACTATCAAAGTTAAAATATTGTTACTTTGCATTCACAGCCTATAATCTAGATCAATTTCTTTCCTTTAAATCAGCAAATGTATTTTAAAATTTGTATGAAACATAATTTCACTTTATTTTAATCACTTTCTCTATGCATCGTGAAAAGCAAAGGAAATTAATTGAATATTTTCTTTCAGTTCTTTAGTGTTTGGTGAGTCAGAATTCAATTAGGATCCCTTCTGTGTGTAGAATAGTTAAAAATGCACTAGTTAGAGTATTTGAAGGGAGGGAAAGTGAATCAACAATAGTGTTAAAATGTGCAACAGCTGACAGTACAACATTCTTAAACAGGGTGCATAGCCAAATTTTTCAACAAAAAATAAGCACCTTTTAAGTACTTTTTAAGCACTCAAAAAATATTTTTAAGCACTTTAAAAAATATTATAATTGGGATATGCGCACTAATAATTTTCTTCCCTTCATAATGTTGGAAGTTCTTCAGATATATATATATATGATAACAAAAGGCAAAATTATTTTCTAAATTACATGATCATGAAAAAATAACTACAGTGATCTCTCACTTATGCACCACCTCTTTTATGCACCTTTTTCATTTATACGCCGATTTTTATAGGTCCCAGTACATTAGATAGGAAAATAATGATTAACATCCTTCGTTTATGCATCGCTCTAAAAATAAATTTTTCAATTATGCGCCAAAATTTTAGGATAGCATTTTAATTTTTTAATCCTTTAAATATTTTTTCTTTTAAAAAAATTTTTTTAAATTAAAAATGAAGCAAATGAGTAATCCTTGTTACAGAAAAAAAAGAAATATATGTTGTTAGATCCTATTGAATTTTCTTCCCCCTGTGACCTTTTCATTTTTGCTGTTTCTGGAAAGACATTCTTTCTAAAATTTTGAATAGGGTGTCTTATCTGTTACACCAACAACAATGAAAGCCCATTCATCTTTTAGAAAATGACCATTCCTCTTGTCCAGAGGTTAGTTTTACTCCCATGCTGTTTTCTAGAAAAAGAAGACACCTGGAATACGAAAGATGAAAGAGACCGCGATCACTTACTTGCAGTCAGAAGGACATTATGAGTACATAAAAGGAGGTGATCTGTTTAGTGAGGGAAATACTTGAACAACTTATTGTGCAGCATATTATGACGTCAAGTACTTTTCTTAGAAATTTATCATGTGATGTTTCACCCCCTCCCATAAAACTCAAATTTTTTGTGAAGAACTGTTCATTTATATCTAACTAAAACTTGTGAATGATGAGAACGTGGTGGATGATACTGACGAGATGATAAAGTTCCTCCAAATCACACAGCAGTATTGAAAGCTTTAGACACTATTCCTGACTATTTACAATTTAATTTTGCTTCTGAAACTCCCCCTTATCCCATTTATATGAACTGGAAAAAACTGTTTTTGAATAACGTCGGCAAAAACAAATACAAACATGTATTAAGATTATTTTGTAAGAAAATAAATTGTCTTAAGGTATGTTAAATTTTTTCTTTGTATAATTATAGTAAATACCAAAACAGTATAAATATTAACATTTAATCTTTAGAAACATATTTATTCATATTGTCACTGCAATTTACGTTGCGTTTTAGAATTTTGAAGTTTTTCACTTATGCGCTTTTTTCTCTTGGCCCCTTACACCGTTGCATAAGTGGGAGTTCACTGTAGTTTCTAACAAAATAAATTTTTCGTGATTATATTAGCCACCATAAAAACAATTTATGCACAATTGTAAATATATTCAATATAGAGTGAATCATTAATTTTTTTCAATTAATAATTACTTAACACAATTGTGTAAAAAAAATTATTCAAAATTATAAATAATTAATTTAACTATTATTTAAAAAGATTATCTCTCTTGCAAAATGCAGCAAAGTTGCTCATGATAATGCATGAATCCTTCCCACCGAATCCAGCTCAGTACTCGAACCCTCAAGTACTTCATAAAATGATTGGAGCTTTCATGTGCTACAGACCAATGGTATGTCGAAATAGATTCTGATTGAATGAATTATGAAAACGTTGAATAGAACAATGTGAAAACCACGCGTTTTGCGTAATTTGAGGTGAAAATTGATATGGTAAAGAAACAAAATCTCATTTTGGAACATCAAGCACTTTTCAAAAACACCCAATGAAAAAAAGCACCTTTAAGCACTTTTTAAAAACGCTATGCACCCTGTTAGAGAGTCATAAAAATCACCTTAACTATTAAAATATTTAAAAACTATTAAAATATTTAAAAACTATTGAAACATTAATTATATTTTAAAACAAGTTAGTTTGAATTAAGTAAAAAATAAAAATAAAAAGTAGTCATAATCATTCCAATTGACCCTAAGTAGGACAATCAACAAACTGCAATACTATTTTTTAATATTATTACAAAATAATATATTTCTTTCTTTTATTTCAAAGCTTTCAGTGCTTAAAAATGTCACTTCAAGATTGTGATTGCTTTTTGAGTTGCAAAACATGAAAAATATTGTGCACTTTGGATCTTTTACAGGTTTTTGTCTCACAAATTTAGACTTATCCTAACTGAAGAAGTAACTTGATAATAGTAATTCTATTATTAACATCTACATTAATACTTACCCAGTAAAGAAGCTTTGAGTGTCTCAGCTTCTCTGAAAAAAAGGAAGAACCTCTTAAAAGACGTAAAATTTAAATATGAACAAAATAAAATAATAATAATTAAAATCATTGAAAGCAAAACAAGATAATTTACCTACTATCGAAACAAAATAATATTTTATTTACAATTAAGTGCATTTTAAAAATTATTTAACGTTATACAGAGCATTTACTTGGAATTCTTTCACAAGCCTCATTTAGTGTAACATGGCTCATCATATTGAGTGATAAATAACTAAAAAATTATATAAATAGAGGAAAAGTATTAAAAGAATATCAAAAAAATCATATTATCATATTTTGTATTACACAGGCTAATGGGGAAGGGAAAAAAAGGTGAATAAAGCACAAATGAAAATACACAGTATAGTTTTGTTTCGATAAACAAGAACTTTTCTTTAGGTCTAAACACCAAATGATAGTAGGAAAGTAAAAAGTCCATGTACGAAATGGTTAAACCAATTAGGAAACAGGGAAAAGTGTGAACAATAATAAAAAATGGGAGATAACAAATTGGTTGAGGGGATTTGGTGGGAACCCCAGGCTGCAAAAGATTAGATTTCCGAACACTGGGAAACAAGAAAGAACATTAACTAAATTCGAATTTTTCACTAAGTGGAATGATTCCAGAAATAAAGGTTGGTAGATGAATAGCAGGGTTAATGATTTTTTCAGAAGAAAACTCAAACATGTGATTAGAATTCCAACTACGCACGGTGAAGGAAGATCATCCTTATTTTGGCCTTGTTCTATAAATTAAAATTTGAGAGTATGTTTAGTTAGTAGTCAAGGCCACATTAATATGAAATTTGATAAATAACCTAGCTATTAATATAAGTAATAGGGTATTTAAGGTTGGTGAAATTAGGTTTATTTACAGGGAAGAAAAATGCTTTAAACTCCAATTTATTCAAAATCTTAGTAATTTAGGAACTGGTTTTCAGTAAAGAAGATAAAGCAATCAAATTGTTAAAGTTCAAATTGAAGAGTTTACTCCATAAAAGGATAAATTTTCTATGCCTTTAATCAATAATATTAAAAGGAAAACCACAATCTATAATAGTAGCTCAATGTAAAGAAACTCTTCCTTGAGTGGATAACAATTAGAACAATATTTAGAAGAAACAAGTGTGTAAGGCAGAGCTATCTTTAGAATAGGGAAATAGATTAAAAAGATGTGAGGGGGAGTGAAGCCGTAAATAGAATACGATAAAAAGTAGTGGGAAATTTTTCGTAATTACGAGCAATGAGAACATTTTAGAAAGGCAAAAACTTAGTATTTTCTTGTTCAAATGTGAATTGTATGCAAGAATCTGTAGATTTCATAATATTGAGAACATGATCAATGTTAGCACTGTTTATCAATGTAAAACAACTGTCGTCCTATTGTTATATATATTATAACTTGTAGTACCCCCTGGGCAACATCCACCTGGTTCCTTTTTTCAAAAATTTACAAATTTAAAATCTATTTGGTACCGGGGCGATTGTAATTAGCACAACAGATCACGATACAGAAATCTCCCCGTATGAGGTATAAGCCTTTGAGTTGGTCCCTTTCTTTGTTTTTGCTCTTAGTTTCTCACGAGCTGCTGCCAGGAATTTGCCAAGACTTGGCGATTATGTTGCCACAGATCATGATATGCAAATCTCCCCTCGAACCTCTCTCTATTTTTTTTTAAATTTGCAAATTTAAAATCCGTTTGGCGCATTGGCAATTGTACAAGGCACAACAACTCACGATATCCAAACATCTCCCAATTCATAAACAGGCACACCACAGCTGTTTCTATATATCCAAATTAGAAAACATTAAATAAATAATGTGAATAGCTTTTTGCTCGAATATCAATGGGGCTTTTAGTAAGTAGTTAAAAACGCTCAAACGGGTAAATGGAGAAAAAGTTTTGACCTCTTATTTTGGAAAATATAAATAAAAATAATGTCAATAGCAACATATGTTGACGTTAGATAGTTAGGTGACATTTAAGATAAAGAAAAAACTTCCCTCAATAAATGACTAATTGAACTTTAAAATTCATTATGATACCAACAGAATGCAAAATATGCGATAATTTTAAAAAAAAATTTATTTTTAAGAAAGTAAACATACTTAAAAATTTGTGAAGGTGAGGCCTTCATTTCTTCCCTTAGGGTTTCCAGTTTTTTTAAGGGACAAAATAATGTAATATTTTCAGGAACACCATAGAATAGCGTTATACAGTAGCTTTATATCCGATAATAAATATTTAGATATATTTCATAACCAATGAAAGAATGATTTAATATTCCTATTATCACATCACATCACATCACTGCTCATCAAAACATTAAATTTCATTAAACAAAACAATAGGACGATGCCATTAAAACCCACTAAATTGCATATTATTTTTTAAATGAACAAATTTAACAAATATTTAATATAAATTAGTTTAATCTGTAATTTTTTAATTCTTTTATGGAATAGTACTGAAAACTTAAGATATTTTGTTTATTTTCAAATTTCTGAAATTCGGATAGTATAATCGATTATATAACTGTAATCAATATAGTTTAATTTCAAATAAAGCCAAAAGCTAAAATTTCACACTTTGCTAAATGCTTTGAAATCCATAATCCGTCCTCAATTTAACTCAATAATTTACGTTAAATTTATGTGTGACTAGATTTTTATGTAAGTTGTATTTTTTCTCATTAAAAAAAAAACAACATTTGTTTTCATAGTGCTTTTCATTAATTCAAATTTTAGTAAATTCTTTGTTTTATTTCTTGCAGTTTATTAATAGATAATCTATCTCGCATTTTTAGTTCTCATTATGTCATCCCTAACGTTTCAACAGAAGCCTTTCTTTCCATCTCCACCTGATAAAGGAAGCTTCCCATTAGATCACGATGGTATGCATTAGATTTATTTATTTATATTGTCTTTTTATGTAGGTAATTTACGAAATTTTTTAAGATTAACATAAGCTGCATTCAACATAAATTCAGAAGAATCGAATGATTCTTTTTTCGTTGACTTAACCTTTCATGAGCAACAATATAGAATGTATTAAGTGGTTTGGTGGCTATATCATCTTTTATTAGTTATTGCAATTGGTTGATGTGGAATAATGGAGAATGTGATGTAAAAGTAATTTAAAAAACTTTTATTTCATTTTTTTATCTACAAATGCACCTTTAAAATGTTCAGTTTCTAATAATTTTCAGAGGGATAGTAGTTGATTGTAGTTGGGCCAACTACAGTCACCAAGTTGCCAAATAGATTTTAAACTTAAAAATTAAAAAAAAAAAAAAAAAAACGTGTAGCTGTGGTTGCGAGTTATACCTTTCGTGTTGGTCCCTTTCTGTGGTGTTTTTTTTTTTTTTTAGTTTCTCACAGGCCGCTGACCGGAAGTTTCCAAGACTTGACGATTATTCTGCCACAGATCACGATACGGAAATCTCCCATATTTTCAGTATAAATTGTATAAAAAATCATTTAAGCTGTCTATCGAAAAATATTTTTTCTAATTTACTTTTTTTTAATGTGCTCTCGGAGATTTTCTCTTAGCATGCCTTTAATTATTATTTATAAAGTGCAAATTTTCTCTTATTTAGATAATGAGTGAAAATTACTTTTTGAAATATATACATAAAATAGTATATGGTAGTAACTTAAAAATTGTTGAACAAATTTAGTTATTACATGATATTACATATTTTGATAAATTTTCAGGGTGTTAAGTGAATGCCCTTTTACGTGAGGAAGCACATTCTCTTTTTTTATTCTTAGGAAGAACTCTGTAACTGTACTAAATATTAATAGTAATTTAGTTAAACCCTTGCATTGATTGAAAAAATTATTAACTCATATATATATATTTTAATTATAATTAGTAGTTCATTAATAAGTGAACAAATTATTCATTAATGAAATTAACATTAGTTCACTAATATTGAAAATATTTATGTACGTATAAATAGGAGTACAGAAAATTCTCAGAGCCTAAAAATCCCAATGAAAAAAAATATTTTTAGAAAATAAAGTTTATGTAAGAAAAAAATTCATTTGATTTTATATGTGTTCGTTTGACTTGAATAAACGAGCATATGTGTCATAAAATAATAGAAATCAAAATAGTAATAATTTATTCAAGAAAATTTAAAGTCTCACTTATTAACTAAAAGGAATTCTAACTAACTTCTTTTTTAACAAGAAGAAGTTTTGCAAACCAAAATATTTTGTAGGAATTTTTTTAGACCAAAAACTTCCCCATGGCTGTCTGAATTTCCTCCAAAGCCTTGTTCACACAGTTAGACATATTCTGCTCATCTCAATATAATTAATAACAACAAATATTAAGAACCATAAAAAAAAAAAATTATCATTGTGATCAGACAATTATTTTCAAAAACTTTGATTTCATTTAATCTAAAAAGTCTGCCTAAATCATAACATAAGAGAATTAAAATCAATGCTTATGTTGATAATAATTAACAACTCATAGTTATTACCAGTAATAGAAGCCGAATTGTTAAAATATGGGTTTTAAAATATTAAGATTGCCATTAGAAAAGCCAATCAATAGTTTCAATGATTTTTGCAGCATTTTTAAAAGTTGATATATAATATAAATGATAATTATAGAAGTATATAATATAAGTATTGTGCATGATTTAGTATCTAATAAAATGACTCCAATGTCAAAAAAGAAACTTGCCTCAGGGTTTTGACAGTTTTTAATGGATTTTGACAGTTCTTGACACTTTTCAGCAGGTTTTTGTTGTGTCATGCCAAAAACCAGTTTTAGACACCGAAAACGCAACCCATGTTAACTATCTTGATTCAATAAAATATTTTTTAAGCATATACATTACGGTTTTTAGGAAATAATCAATATTTGGCTCTGAATGATCTGAAATAATATTTTTAACTAGAGAATATTAGAAATAGTTTTTACACACATTTAAGTTCTCAAAAACTTGCACACGGCTTGCAAATTTATGTCCTAGAAGACAAATTGAAAAGTGATGTGAGAAAAATTTAAACTAGATTACTTTATACTGAACCACAAGTTTTGTACTAGTATACTAATTTTATTTAGGCAAGTCAATTTCGTGGTTTTTTCAACAACTTTTGTTTTGAGAAATGATCATTTTGTTTTTTTATTATCGTGAAGCATTTTAATGGAACATTTCTGATAGACTTAACTTTTTACTGTCATTTTTTTCCTGTTCAGTAATCAGGTAACATAAAAAACTGTTATTTTTAATGCTTAAGTTACATTTTAAGAACTAAGAACAATTTTTTTCCTGTTTATTAACTTTTCTTTTTATCAGCATTTTTATAATGATGCTTCATTTTTGTTTAACGAGTGTTTATAATGAACGTTGTTCTTTTATTGTCATTTTTTTCTCCTTAAAATACAGCAATGTGAAAAAGTAAAATTGAGATTTTTAGTGTTAGATTTAATGTTTAAAAATTAAGAATAAAAAAAGATTAAAAATTAAGAATGATTTTGTTTTGGTTTCCATCTAGCTTTTTCTTCTTAAAAAACACTTTAGTTTTTATTGATATTTTTATTATTGCACTACAATCAAGAGGGTTTCTATTAGAATTAATTCTTTTTTCATCACCTTTTCTTAAAAACTGATCAGTAATTGGAAAACTGAAATATTCAGATTTAAAATTTTCTTTCAAGAAATAAAATCGATTATAATTTTTTCTGTTTTGCTTTTGTACATAATCTTTTTTTCTTTTTTTTTTTNTTTTTTTTTTTTGATAGCGTCTCATTTCTAAAAGTGTTAGGTACTTAGTTTCTCTTATAACACAAGGTGTTAAACCTAAGAATGGTTAAAAATGTCGCCATTAAATCTGGGCTTGTCATAAACAAGTTTTTTCTGTATGGAATGATAAAATAATTTTTAGTATTAAAGGTTTAAAAGAATTTGTTCCTAAAATTCAAATGTGATTTTTTTTGATAAAATATTAACAGTTTAAATTTAGTAAAAATTAAGCTTCATTTTGTTTTAATTGATATTGTCATTTCAGTTAGTGATAATGTGCAATTGATGTGTGATGTCTGAATTTTTAGTTGCTCTTAAATAAAAATGTTTGTTTATTTTATATTCACTCATTTTTAGGAGAGTGTAAAAGGCAGATGCTGAAGTACTTATTGTGTTTAAATCGTCAGAACAATTCCAATGAAGAATGTCGGCATCTTGCTAAAGATTATCTGCAATGCAGAATGGAAAAGTAATTTTTTTTTATCTCCTTCAAACATGAGCAAAAATTAAACTTATCTAAGTTTAATTTTACAATTGACTCTTCTTTTTTAACAATTTTGAAGGGACTGAGAAAAATGAATCTTAAATAAAGTTCATCTTTAAATAGAATTTGTAGAAAATAAAACTTTTCCCTTCTCATTTCGACAGGCTTAAAATTATCACTTTATTTTGTAATAAATTAGCATGTTTAGAAAAATATATAAGTTTTTGAATGTTATTTTTCATTGAACAAAGAATATTAGAACAAAAATAAAATAGATTAACAAAAAAAGCATAAGAATTAAGTAAGTTTCTTTTTTAAAAAATTTTTTACATATTAAAATAGTATGGAGAGTATTCTGTATTAAGAGGAAGCAGTGACTTATATTTTGTCTATGCATGGTTCACGCTGAACATTCATCAACCTGCCAAATAGGATAAAATCATCAATTTGGCGAGAAAATCATGTTTTGGCAAATGGTTTTTGTTTTTCTATCAAACCCTCAACCCTGAAAAAATTGTGAAAAAAAATCAAAAGGAATTTTTTGGGATCAAATTTTGTAATTTTTATTCAATTACAGTAATTTCCATTAGATACGTTACATAACCAATTAGAATTAGTATTACAATAAGTTCAGATAAGCAACAAGAGAGATAACGTAAGCATGAGAGAAACTACTGTAAAATACAGATTAATATGTTTGTTGCCGGATCTCGTGATATCGCATAACAAAATTCTTTTCTACAGTTCCTGCCACTAAAGCAGATTAAATAATATCAAGGTGCATGTTACCATCCAACTAGTTTTGCAGAAAGTATATTTTCTTGTGACAGTAGCATATCCATTACGTGACAACAACATAATGTTGCTTCAGGTTTATCCTTATATTACTGCCCTCTAGTCTAAGAAGTAATCTAAATTGAACCCCAACATATTTCTATTTCTTTCTCATCCATTGCTCATTAACTTTTCCCCAACTCCAGATTGACTCTTGATTTGAATTTGGATTTTATAAAATAATTTACTTTATAATAAATTTGAATTTCGATTTGAAGTTTTTATGAAAAAAAATCAATCATACAATTTTTTTAAGTTTTGTCTTTGGCTAAGAATTGTGAAAATTGGCTTATACTTTTGATCTTTGGCTAATTTACTGACTAATAATTTAAATTCCTTAGTGCAGGCCTTGTCACTTTCTCCTTCATCATTTTCATTGATAATTCTTCATAAATTTCATATACTTCTCTTAAATCATTTCAAATATTTTCACATGAGATGAAGAAATCCTCTTAATAGAAAATTTCAATCGTCTTTCTCGACCCCATTACAACTATTTTGTTTCCTCTGACAGAAAATTAAAAAAAATATATATATAGACATGTATATATATTTTTTTGCACATTAAAAAATGTCATCGCTATAGAGAGACATCCTTATATAGTGTTCTCACTAAGCGTTTTTAGAAGAGTGGCCCGCCCTTTGATGCACCCTCTTTGACCTTTTAGTAAAAATAAACTGCCATCTCTTAAGAACATGGCCTTTTTATTCATATTCTGTTTTTAAAAAAATTAATTCGCTATTTAAATAATAATTATACACTCGTGAAATTATCTGTGTTTATATCTGATTACTATTACAGATATATATTTTGTCAGGATTATTCTCAAATGGTTAAATTTGTATAGTTTTGTTCGGGGGGGGGGGGGTTTTATATTGATGAATTTCTTACGTGATTTTAAAACTATTTTTAAATACCTTTCTTTTTTTTAAAAAAAAGGCATCTTTAAATATTTATTTTGTGATAATTTTCAGTTTTTGAAAAAAATTGTGCACAGTGATTGTTTTTTAGCATGCCTTTAAAAAAAAGTTGTTTTTTTTTTAACTACCAATTTTTCTCTTGTTTTAGGTAATAAATCAGAATTACTTTTTGAAATATACACATAAAATAGTATAAGAGGTTAATTAGAATTATTGAGGATCGAATTCAGTTATTATATATTATTACACATTTTGACAAATTTTTACGGTGTTAAGTAAGTGCCCTTTCAAGACTCAAAATGCCCTTTTCTGTGAGGAAGTGTCCTGCTCTTTTTACTCCTCCAGAGAACTCTGTCCTTGTATAGAGACTTTTCTACTATGAAGGAGGGGAACATATCGTCTTTCAATAGAAACTGTCATTATGTAGTTAATGAGATTCTAAACTGTATTTAAGTTTATAATATTTATATATATAGTAAAAGAAAAGGAGCCACATCTCACTATAGCCTATATCACTGCATTCCTATGCTGCTTTCCGATTGTGTTAGCTATTAATATGTATAGCTAACACATTTAAGCAGTTAAAAGCAGACCTAAATTAACAATTTTGCTATATACCAAAAAATGGGCGAGTTCCCTAACTTGGAGTTTTGAAAATGTGCTCTTAATTGTTCTGCTATTTGAAAATAGCAAAAAAAGTTTTAACCTTTAGAGAGTTATAAACAAAAAAATTTGTGTTGAAAAAATGTTTTTATTTTAATACAAAATATTTTCCAATGCTGCTCCAACTTTACATCAAGATAAAATTTCATGTACATTTAGAAATTGATAATCTGATGGGTGTGTGTTATGTAAGGCAATCTATGTACAAAATATACTTTCTAAAAATTGTGAATCAAATTTTATTATTCTTTAAAATTTTTATCTAAAGCTCTAATATTTAAGAAGAAAAAAAACTGCAAAATTGTTGTAATCAACTCAGTCAGCAGCAGTGAGACATTTCAAACTGTTTTGTCACCAAAACAATAATTGGTTACATTACATTTGATCTATAAAAGCAATTATTGGGTTAAGATAATTTTATTGGAAATTGAGTGTCAAAATGTGTTTGATCGTTTATCGATATGCATACAATGTTTTTCCAGTTTGAGCTATATGTTATTTCAATCAAAATGAAATGAAAAGTATAAAATATTTGAACTATAATTTCATATAGAATTTTATAAAATGAAGTGGATAATGATTGTTACTTAGCAAATGGAAGAGACACTTGTGATCATTTTTACTATTTTTTAATTATGTTAATCTAAATATTACTTTAAAATAGATATTTTTTTTATTATTTGTGTTCTGAAATAACGAGTTTCAATTTTATCCATTTATCATAATATCCATGTAAAATTGTTAAAAAAATATCTGATCATGTGAGCCTATTCATTATTCTAAAATATTTTCTACAATTCTTTTCTTTCAAAATTCAGTTTTCTATACCCATTATCAAATATTAGTGATTTGGTTAAATTCATCAAATGTTCTTGCATATTATCAGCATTATGGATCGAGAATTACGGAGTATAGTATGTTTCTCTTCTGTGTAAATAACATATGCATATTCTTTTAATTTTGATCATGTGTGTACATTTATTTGTACTAGACATTTCTTATTCTAAAACGACATTTTAATTGCGTCCGCTTGGGAACTAACGCAAGGTTTGCACTAATCATCAGATTAAAAAAAAATTTGTTGTGTTTGAACCTTATTTCTTTACTAAACTAAAGATAAAAGTAACTGTCAGAATTTTTTTTTAATTGCTAATGCTTGTATAACTGGTATGGTTAACAAGAATTTCATTTGATTTTTATTTCAGAAATTTAATGGCTCATGAAGAGTGGGAAAAGCTGGGTTTTCCAGAAAAAGAGACAAAGTAGTGATTGTGATGAACATTGCAAAATTGTTTCTATTTTTAAATATGTAAATAGAGCTAATTGTCTAATTTATAGTGAAAAAAATTTTTCTTCCTTAATTTTTTGGAAAAAGGATTTCAGCAGCATAAACCTATTGACCCTTCAAGAGTTGAGTTTCAGGACAAAATTATATCTAAATGATTTTCAGCTCGTAATTTCAGATGTATGGAATTCGTTGTTTGTAATACGAGGGATATTTTTTAAATAAGGGCTGTTTGGAAATAAAAACCAAATGAAAGAAAATTTTTATGAAGCAAATTTATTTTTTGATTCAACATACATTTCTCTTTTTTTCAAAATAGTTGTCAACTTTGCTTAAACACTTACACCAACTAGATTTAGAATACCCTCTTCATAGTAACTTGCCGCCTGCTCCGATATCCAAGAGGTTACGACCGTTTTCACGTCTTCGTAATCATTGTACTAGTTGCCGGCAAAACGATATTTAGAACATCGGGTAAGGTTAAAATCACTTAGCGCAAGGTCTGGGCTGATGAGGGGTGATCCAAAACTTCCCAGCCGAAAGAGCCAATAAAGCTCGGGACTGAGCTGTGGAGAGTCATGGAGTAGCGAAATTTTCTGTCAGCGTGCCAGTAGGAAGCTTCAGAAATCTGTCAGTGAATGTATGTAGCAGACAGGTTTTTTGCCGACTAAAAACGCATCACTGACCGTACCTCGTATTGGCGGGTGATTTGTTAAATTTGAACATATTAAAGACGCAGAACAACTGACTGCACAGGGTACATACACAGCGGAGCATAGTTGTTCCCAAGAAATGCCGAGACACTCCGCAAGTACTCGTTGTGACGCAAGCGTCATTTATTAATGTACACAAGAAAATGGACCTTAATTTTTAAAAATAAACAGCCCTCGTACCACTTAACTGAAGTTGGAATCTGTTGAAAATAGCATTTAATTGGACAAAAAACTATCATTTGTATTTTTTTCTTTTGTATAACATTTAACAAATAGCATTAGTATTAGTTTATAAAATGTGTTCTATAATGTGTAATATAAAATGTATTTAAAATAAAGTTCTTAAAATAGAATTGTCAGTATTTTTCCTTGGTGCCAGTTTTTGACCAATCAGTTGCTTTAAAAAAATCTATTTTCAAAATATTTTTTCAGGAAGAGGGTAAATAAACATCATATATATATATATTTACAGTGGAACACAGATTTTACATTTTCCACTGGACCAGCTTTAAACACCGCACGAAGCGTAATAACGTAAAATTGCGGTAAAAACTATATTTTTCGAAAATTCATTCTTGTGAGATGATATACTAGAAAAAATATGTAATCTTTACATGTTTTTTTTTTGCTTTTGTATACAATTTCAGTCTTCACAATACTTACTATTGTTTTCAAATTTACTTTTTTCGCAAATGCTTTCAAACTCTTGATCAGTTGTAGATATATTCTCCGATATTTTCATCTCTGTCATAGAAAGTAGCCTTTAAATCAGATATGGAAAGGAAAAGTAATGGAATGTCATCGACTTCAGAAGCAATTTCCGATGGATAACTAGAAGTTATATTAAACCTGTTTGTGAGGTGACTCTATCCAATCAGAACATTTATTTGTGAAGCATCTTGCAGATCACCTGAATCAGGAAAAAGAAATGATTACCTAACCAGCTGTTTAGTGCAACGTTCTTTAAATGCTTAGATGATTCAAAAGTTGGAAGAAAAAGATCACAATTAAAGCTCCTTTCTACCGTGCATTGGATATCCTACCATTTCTGATTTTGAATGAAGGGGGAAATCCTCTCCCTGAGACACTTAGATAGAAAGAATGTGAGAAAAGCTAATAAATCTTTTTTCAAGAAGAAAGAAAAAATTCCTAAAAAGTTTTTGCAAGCTTTGTGGAGAAAAAATGATTTTTATCTATTAGAAAAACCTATAAAACCGATTTTTTTTTTGAAGGAAAAAAAAAAGAGAGTAATGGAAAATTTAACATTATCGGTATAGGCAATTTTCCCGGACCAGCAAAAAATTACGTAGAAAGCGAAATAATGTACGAAAAAAAGTAAAACCAGAGTTCTGCGTGTGTATATATATATTGACTAGGACTGGGCGATATAAGAAATTTTATATCGTGATGCATCGTCAGTTTTGCATAGCGATATAGTATTTTTGAAATTCATTTACTTGTAAGGCGCAGAAAGTCGGATTTCTATCAAAACTTCATACTCAGATTGATTTAAATCAATTTATGAATTTGATGTATATGTTTTGCTTAAGAAAGATATTAATGTTATATTTTCTAAAAATGATCGCGCAAATAACGAAAGATTTCTTAGTTTAAAAATAAATAATAAAAAAATAAATAAAATTGAAATTTATCAATATATTTACCTAACAATATAGAAAGAAAATTTAAAAAATAAGTTCGTTAAAAATTATTTGTATGCTTAAAACAAAGTGCTAAATAAATTAAACAAAAAAAAAAAACACACTTTTAAAACAACACTATTTTTTATCGTTATTATTTCACATGAATAATAAAGTTAAATTGAATAATTACCGAATTCTGAACGAAAAAACAAAGTAAGATTTAATTTCTTAAAAATAAAAACAAAAGAAATGATATTCGATAATATATTCAACTGACAATATTGAAAGAAAATTAAAAAACACGATTATACTCTGTAATAAAATGAAGTGCTAAATGATTTAAAAAAAGGAAGTCGCAATTGCAAACATTACTAATTTTTTTGAATAAACAAAGTTGACTGACTTATGTCCAAATCCAAAAGAGGAAAAATAAGTTTTGTTATAATTTTATTTATAAAAATGAAGACAACTAAATATTTATAAATTTAAAATCAGTAATAAAAACCCATTAAATTATTATTTTATCCAAAAAGTTTTTAATAAATTAAAATAAAGTAAAAAATAACCTTACAAATTTAATTACTTTTTAATTTAATTCTTTATGGGCACCTTAAATTAGATTTCGGTTTGTAATAAATTCAATAATGTAAAATAATACTTAAACATATAATATCAAAATTAGTTTTCACATTTAAAAATAAAAGTTTTGTTTAAAAAAAATACCTAATTAATTAAGAAACACTTCTTTATATATTCTTTTCAATAATAGATTACGTTCAGAACAAGGTAACGACGGCGATCACAAAGTCAGTCCCACTGAAAATAATCTACAAGAAACGATATCAAGTCGCGACAAAGAAGAAGAAAAAAATAAAAGGTGCGGAAACGAACATGCGAGATCACGATATATGTTCTCAAAACTGATTCTGATTCTACCGCTCATCAATCAAAGCCGTTTCAATATTACGATACGAACATCGTCTTCCCCAGCTCGAGTTGGCACGCAAGAGATCCTTGCGTGTCTTGTATCGCTATATCGTTCGTCTTCTTTACTCGACGGCTTAAATCAGATTTCTGATGCATCGCCTGGGACGAAGGTCGCTGTATCGGCCTGCCGATACAGGCATTAAATCGATATGTCGCGATATATCGATTTATAGCCCAGTCCTAATATTGACTATTATTTTAAAGCTAAAAATTATGAAAGAGTGTCATATTCTCATTTATTTTTGAGGGAATAATTAGAAATGTTCATTCAAGTGGCATGTTTACAAGAATGGACACAGCAAAAAATGGATCTTTTGTCTTTTGAGTTTTTAACCCAAATTTAGAAACTACCCTTACGAAAATTTAAGGTTGATTTGAGGTATATTTGGGGTATAATTTTTATTGCTGAGAAAACAGCAATAAAAATTACACCTCCTGAAGGTTGTAATTAAGGTGCACGAGGTTGTTTTGTATATATTTCAGCCTATTTTGAGGTTGTTTAAAATCAACTTCAAATCAACCAGGCTGATGAGGTGATTCTCAAGGTATACGAGGTTGATTTTCTGACACTTGTAACAAAAGAGGTACTTACGAGGTATAAAAAATATACCTTTTTTCAACTAAAGAGAGTGAAGTATTAATTGAGTTGTATGAAGTCATTTTATTTATACCTAAGGTTGTTTAAAGTACACTTCATATCAACTAGCTCACTTCCCAGAGTTCCGTGCAAATGGCGTGTGTGTTTACAATCGAAAGTTTCCTCGAAATTCGGTAAGTGTGCTTGACATTTATTAATTTAGCTTTATCACTTTTAATCAAATATGCTTCAATTTTCGAACTTAAATTTCATTATTTTTGTTTTAAAGACGCGTCCTGATCTTACATTATTTAAGTCGGAAGATATTCTTTGAGGCTATTGTTGTAGGCTTAGCAATAAGCAGGGCCTGATTACCGAAAAGGCACAGGAAGCAAGTGCTTCCCCTATTAAATTCTAGGGGGCCCCCAAAATGACNTCGTTACAGCAGGTTACGCACAGTATATTTTATTGTTTGTAATTTATTCAAATGTAACTATTCTTTTTGTTTTGCTTAAATGTATATGTTTTAACTCAGCAGTATGCAAGCTGATTGAGTAAAAGATTCATAATTTCTCTTATAAATAAATCACTGAAAATTGAAAGATTTTTAAAATAGCAATTTTGCTTTGAAATTCTGCTATAGCTGTATACTTATCGTTTGCTTGGATATCTGTTGCAAAGTTTATATTGTTGTTTATGAGTGAAAAAAATGTGTATAATAACACTGCATTTTAAATCTGATTAACATACAATTTCTTTTTGTAATATAGGGGCCGTTCAAAAAGTACGTACACAAAAATGGAGAAATTTTAAACCCCTCCCCCCCCTTCGTACATTACCGTACATAAGGTCTTACTCCCCCCCTTAGAGTACGTACATTTTATTAGTCTACCCCCCTTTTTCATAAAAATTAAAATAATTATGTTTTAAATAAAATTAAATATTTACTTAAGGAGTGTGTAGGATAAAGTCAAATTTAAATTTGGTGTATGTTTATAAAGTACGTACTTTGTATATCAAGATTATTAAAATTTTTTTTA